CAGAACTTATCCGGCTGCTGAACTTTTAATTCTCTATAAAACAACATGTTCAATAACTCAATCAAAGGTCGATAAGCACCCCTTTCATGTTACCGCTAACTGTATTTATAAATTTACGTGTACCTGTCAAAGTAGCTACATTGGCCGAACAGAAAGGAGAGCATACCTTAGATTTTTTGAACATGTTCCAAAAAGTCTTAGAACAAGGGAAATAAGGACTCTGAATAGTGCAATCACCAAACATCTCCTTGATACAGGACATCAAGTAGATACCTTACAATCCTTCAAGGTGATTAGTAAGCAGCCAAACTCCAGTCTTCTGAAGTTTGCTGAAGCCGTTGCCATCAGGCGTCAAAAACCTGACCTATGTGTTCAAAAGGAGACGGTTGTTAATCTTTCCTTGCCTTGGTGACAAATATTCTTTCGCTGCACCATAAAATTTTTTTGTATTTATTACATCATTGATTTTTTATTTTTCAACTATTTTTCAAATTAACAATCTTTCAACTGAACTCTACTCACTATATTGCTATCATTGTTTATTCTTTATTATTTATATTTTATTTATTTTAACACATAAGTATAGGTACAGGGAGGCACCAAGTACATATGCGCCACACGAATCTCAATTGATTTGTGTGAGGGCTGTGATACTGCCCGGGTGCCCAAACCGAAGCAGGTGGTTTTCTTAGGGGGCCACACCCCGAGCCTTCGACCTGAACGTCTGACCCACAAGGCAGTGGAGCATCGTGAGGAGATGCAGTCCCATGGTAGCCGGTGACCAACGATTGGTTCATACGCCATTTGTTCCTTCAGGATACTGGAGCCCATGTGCACCATTGGTTTGGGGTTCGGTTAAAGCGCCGGACATTCGCTTTTCGTCCTCTCATTTTTGTAAACAACACCCCCGCCACGAGAAGGCAGTGATTAGGACTTCCCTGGCAGAGGCTATATACGCATGGCCATGTGAGAGCATTTCGAGAGGGAGAGCGGACTCTCCCCACTCTCGGCCGTACCAGGGCATTTGGGGGAATTGTTTATTCATTATGTAATCAATTGTTTCTAACCTTTTTGAATTGTTGTCACAATTAATGATGTAGAATATTCTTTCACATTAGGTATATATTTACAATATTCAGTCTATTAATTTCATTTACACCCTTGCTATACTATACGAATATGTCTTCAATATAACTTCTAACAAAACCCTCTCATGTAAGTCATTTGAACTCATTATCTAATTATGATTTATACATGTCACAGGTTGTAAGCAGCTGATAAGAACCTACGAAATAAAATGAATTCATACTATTCTGATAGAATCTTTGTTCTTGCTCTTTTCAAAATGATAAAGGAAACTATGTTTATCAAATCAGATATATTCACAAACTCATTAATTAATATAGATATATGCCCCTCAAAATATTCATCCAGATTTCCAACCAATAGTGTATTTTTGTTCCCGTCGGATGATTATACCATATCCTAACTACTAGTGTATAGCTGTCAGCATCTCTTACTCATTGTTTGGTCTTAAAATGATATGTATGATTGATGCAGGATATTGATTAACAGTTTGCTGAAGAATAATTTGCAAATTTATTTTTAGGAACGCAGTTTGCATAATAATAATAATCCGTAACGCAATGAAATAGTAAAAGTGTAGATTTATATACTGAAATGGCTTGGAAATATAGGAACACTGGATGTGAGAAAAGGGACAAGAAGGAGGTATTGCGGCACTGTTTCGAGTCTTTAGTCTCTGACTGCCTTACTGTAACTATTTCAGATTTTGTTATCAAGTGCATCCTAGTTTTCGGCTACTAAAGTAATATCATAATTCATACTAGGACTGGTATGTACTTACTCCTCAGCAAATATTCCTGCAACAACAAAATAAATACTATTGGTTTGTTTTCAGTGTCGCAATTGATTGATAACTGGGTGGTGATCAATGTCATGTGTATCAAGTCCTTAGTGCAGATCGAATGCTGTCGACCAAGTTGCAATGTGGCCACTAGTCTAGGTGAGTCGACATTGCGTGCACTTAGTTGATAGCATTCGATCTTCACTAAGAAAGACTTGACGCACATGACATTGATCACCACCCAGTGATCAACCAATTGCGATTACATCTCAGTACTACAGAAGGTCAGTCGCTGCTCGGATAGACCAGTGGTAACGTCTCTGACTGGAAAGCTGGGTGACACGGGATCGAATCCGTCAGGGAGTACCATTTCCCTCAAGATTACAGGTACACCTTGCTGACGAGTGCCAAGTAGCACAAAACCCGGGTTCAGCGTATTCTGTTGACTACCTCCAACCACCATCTAATTTCAACATTGTTTTCAGTGTTTCAAATTCATATTACATTTATCTTTTAAATGTGAAGACAAACCATGGAGAAATCTACAAGTTTGTACTTAAAGTTAGATGGCAACTATTTAAATTATGATAACCAATCCTTCACTGTAAATAACCTTGGAACGTCATCTTAGAAAATTTGAATTCATTCTTTCGAAGCCACGTATCCTGATGCTTAGCTTCTAATCGGTAATGCTAATAGATGCATTGTCTCGACTTGGAGTAAGGATACCTATTAAAGAACCAAAGATATCAGGAGGAGTCAATTTTAATATGGCCATTATACCGTTGTGGACCGCGAATCCAATATTTTGTGTACCTTATAGTACTATGGTTTAGTTAAACTATATTTTGGATTTTTATCATGTGATGTTTTCTGGTCTAAGGGATAAATATCAATTCTATAACACGATGAGACAAATCAGAACTACATGATTACATAGCCCCGACTCACTATAGTGAGTTTCGACTCAGCACTTTAACATAAAGGTTAAACATAATATCTGTTTTATTATTGAAAACATTAGATTACTTTTTTTCTAAAGTAGATGCGGTAGACTAACATCTATACAACGTTAAAATACTCAATCAGGGAGGATATCTATGGAATTTCTAACTACTTAACTGACTTTCTTCAGCAAGATAGGAAAGTTTAAGCCGTCAGTTATTAAAAATTCAAACCACTCCCAAAGCCTTTTATAAAAAACCTAAGCTGAAGTTTGTAAATGTTTCGGAAACGCTCTAAAATCAACATAGAATGATTTCGATAATTCTATGCGGAAGTTCTATCTCATAGTGTGGGGTACAGGTTATGTACGTTCCTTGATCTCCACTATGTACGCAAAGGTAAACAGACATTAGGTGACTTGATTTCGAGATAGTGTAAAGCATATTGATTTTGTGATGTGTCCTGTAAACCATATATTGGTACACTATTCTCAAAGTATTTTAATGTCTTCTAGGAAACGAGGGATCGTGTTAGTTATATTAGAGCACTTTGAATACCAAGAACTGCTTCATCGGTCTTAGCTTATGATGCTAGTACATTCTAACATTACAGGAACTAAAGTAACTATCGGATCTAGTGCAGAATCTGCCCTGATGATCGAGTAACAAATCTGTAGCCAGCTGTGAATAGAATTTTAAGTAAATATCGTCAATTTCATTTTATTATTATTATTACTACACTACCTTACACTAATCTGTTCGTTTTTTTCATTATACACACCTTACCTTTTTATTCTTCCCATTCTCATTGTTTTGTGTGGCGCATATAAATCTGGTGCCCCATTGTACCAATATTTTTGTGTTCAAATAAATAAATAAGCCAGCTGTGTAGAGCGTCTTTAGTCATGAATTGAAGTAGATTATTGTACAGCATACGTTGGGAATCACGCTTTTTTAATTCACATGAAGATACCCAATTAGTTCCATTAAACAAAGCCAGTATAACTTCTACTTATTTTTTTAATACATTTGAATAAAATCAAAAACATTTTGGAATTATGGATGTCTCACTACTCGCCATTAAGATTTTCATGAGATTTGGAAACAATTACGATAGAATCAAGTGGCTGAATTGACCTGATAATCGGAGTCTTGGTGGTTCACTCTTGTTAGCAAGATAGATATCTGCTAATTACAAACTACATTTATAGCCTAGGTAGATGGATACACACATAGGACTAATGTTAACAAAAGAAAGTTGGTTCCAGTTTATGTAGTAATCAAGTTCATTGGAGTTTGATTTTGACAATCGTACATGTATTTTCATAATAAGACTAGACAAAATTCGCTCATACTTCAATTGATGATATCATTGTATAGCAACATCAGCATCAACGAAACCAGTGCATAATGCTATTGAGTGCATGTATAGACGCTCATAAAGTGTACTACTGGAATCGACAGATGGTGAATGAATTAGCATTGCTGTAGAGAACTCGCAACTCAGCTTATAATAATAGTAGAGCTTTCCATAATCAGGTTTATTGTTTTTGGTCTCGCTCTAAATTCCTAATTGTCACTTTTCATGTCATCTTACCCAATAAACTGTCTTCACTAGTTGTTACTTTTATTATACTATTTTTTGATTTGATATACCCTATATTTATTTAATCATTAAACATTTTATCTTATATTTTCAAGCAAAAGCTTTGGAGAAGGGATGTTTTCTTCTAGTTATGTATTGCGTTAGTATGTACCGGTTGTTCAACCTGAACATGACTAATGTTTATGTCCATAACTAATTTCGGTTTTCGTCTAGTATTTGGAATCATTATCAGAAATTTACTAGCAAATGTTATTGTATTATGGTAAACTAAGGATTTATAAACCATAATTTTCGAGAAAAATAAACATGAAATTCATATCTTGACACTCATAAATTGAACCGAATGAAAACTAATCAAGTGGATAAATAGAATACATCATTCTGTGACCTGTCAGTGTGCACAGTAATCTAAAATTGATACTCTCTTCACCCACTATTATTCTATTTAAATAATATAAACAGAATCATCTCTAGTAAAATCATAGATTTATTAAATATTATTGGCAAGCATTTGATGCAATATTTACTGTTGAGAGATAAATTTTCTATACTTTTTGTTTGTAATAATTTCATCAAATTTCGCTTAGTGTATTAGGGATTCTTTCAGTTTCATGCTTAAAGATGAAAGTAATACACAGTCCTCATCGAAATGCGGTGGGAAATCTGCATCTTGTAACAATGGACATTGAACGTTTGCACAATCATAAAATGACTTTTGCTGAAATATGTACAAAAAAACACGATGTACGTAATGGTAATTAGACTGAGTTTGTGAAACAGAGTGGCGAATACTAAGTTAGACCCATAAACTGATAACTGATGTATTCATTTCAATAAATGGTTCTGTGTTATTGGAATAAACTATTTGATCAGAGATTGTTATTATTATTACTATGGTCATGGGTACCAGTATTAACGTTAGTATTACCATATTAAGTGATCAATAAATTTATATCCAAATACTCTTGTTTCAGTATCGCAAAAACTTCCATACTCCTAGTTTCTGGGTTAATACCACTGAAAGCAGTTTCTGAGGTTATCTTCAAGGTTTTCAATACTCAGTAGACATGTCGTATGCGCCAGTTCCAGCTATTTTTCCCTTCATTTATTGAACGAGCGCTGCATATCGGTATGTTATTTTCACTAAAGATTTCATTTCAAGCGTCTGGAGCTATTCTTAACTGTCTGCTATGCACATACCTAGTGTAGTGAAGCACAACATGCCGGATATAAAACAATGTAATAAAACATTATATATGAGGAATGTATTTGAAATAACCTGAGCGATTGAAATTTAAATAAATAGATTATAATTCTGGTTTCGATTACAATCCTGAAGAGGTTCAGACGACTTTGCTGGATGAAACATTGAAATTGTTTAGATTTCAATCTCTGAGATTATTTCAAATATAATTTTCACATTTGTTTTCTCTATGCTCGGCGCCCATAGTTCTGATATTGACGAATATTCTTATAAATATACTAAAAGTTCGGGTTTGAAATCAACTTTCATGAACGTGCATCCCAAAACGTGATAGTTATATACTAAACAAATGGAAAAACGATCGGAAGTCCTGGGTACAACGCCCTTATTTACCACTGAAAACTCTGAAGATAACCTCACTTATTTAATCTATACTGAATTATATGGCTAAGCACATTGATTCCCAAACTTTTGTGCTGTAACTAAGCTGAATCACTTAATCGGAATGAATAAATTATTGAATATGTTTTGCATACATATTTCATATACAGGTAATTCCTTTTCTGTCATGATTATAATTTATTGAGAATTCTTGAACACTTTTTTGGTTATTCCGGTGTATCGATGTAGATTTTTCGATAAATATTTTCACCTTTCATACTAGTTAGGAAAAGGTTACTATGATTTTAGTGACTAGGACGAAATACTAAAAATTTTTAATAAGAAAAGTCTTCACTTTCTACTCTCAGTTCGCTGGCAACGTCTCTAGTGTTAGTGAGGCTTGGCAACTCGTTAGGAGTCTGCAAATAATGATTGTTCATCAGACTTTACTAATCCAATAATTGTTATTTAGGTTACTTATTCAAAACTATTTAAGACTAAATATTTTTAACAATAGGTTTAATTAATATGATTTTCAATAGTTGAAATCATGAGTAAATTGTAGCTAAGATCACCATGGGAATCCTGGAAGCCCTGGACGGCCGTTTGCTCCTAGTATGGGACTCCTCAGCAGTGCGCATCCACGATCCCGCCCCCCACGAGATTCAAACCCAGGACTTATCAGTCGTTGGATGCCGGCTTAGTGGTCTAGTGGTTAAGCATTTACTCGCAAGACTGATAAGTCCTGGGTTCGAATCTCGTGGGGGGTGGGGGGATCGTGGATGTGCACTGCTGAGGAGTCCCATCTGGGACAAAACGGCCGTCCAGTGTTCACAGGATTTCCATGGTGGTCTAGCTTCAATTGGCTCATTATTTCAACTATTGAAATTACTAAAATCTCTACAAAACCCCTTCTGATAATATGATTTTGTATGAGTAAGCAATAAGATTATCATTAACTTACATCACGATAACAATATAAGCAAATTGCTAAACATTTATTATATGCTGAATCAGTTCTAAAATAAACTTCTTTAGCTAATGAACTATCTTTTATTGGTTGACTTAAAGCTGCATGTTGAATAGATCCATGAATTGAAAATGTATAATAAATGAAGAGGACCAATAAAGTTTTCATTGTTAACTGATAAATTAATCTATTCGAAATATATTTGAACAATATTGTCATAATTGTTAGCATAATTCTTCAATATATATGTTGAACACTGTTGTAATTGTTATTTTGGGCCGAGATCACTGTTGACTAGAAAAAAAATCAGAGTGAACATGTGTTGGTTTAAATTGATGCAAATGTCATACGGAAAGACAACTTTTTTATTTATTATATAGATTAGTGAAAGGAATGAAAACGGAATAGAACTAAGATCAAACATCAATGAAAATTGAAAGTAAGGTATCAAAAATTTATAAATAAGTAATTTTGTTCTGACAGTATTAATAATTTCGATGCTTGTATGTAAATCCCATTTAATACTGTCTTATTCTTCCACATTATTTTAATGAATATTTATTAACGTATAAATGAACAGTAGTTAATTTATTTTCTAATTGATGATATATATCTAGACATAAGGTTTATTAATAGTTAACAGATACAGTGTGATGATATTGTAATGGAAATGGGGTTTATTTGCAAAGGCTTATATTTCCCTATTATCAAAATTAAGGATTGCAATGAATCAGTTTGTATTAGCTTGTGTACATCCTAGAGAAATTCTTCAGCATTACTATTTAGTAATAAGCTCTAGTAAATATGTATTTTGGATAAAAATAGAAGCATAAACGTACGTTTTGTCCTATTTAGGACTCATCAGTTAAATCTACATATATCCGTGTTGACCATCACATTAAGATTCAAACCCGGTGCCTTTCGCTTCAAACCCCATCGTTTTATCTACTAAGCTAACGTTAACAATCGAAAAATATAAACCTTTACAAATCAATTCATACTCTCTAGACACATTGGTAGCTATCTTAACTCAATAGATCAATGTGTAACGTGATGGCATTTAGAATGAAAGTTATCGGGTTCGAGTTTCAACGAAAACTGTAATAAAGTTGCAAGTAAATCGAACTGATTAGTCCAAAAATAAGTAACCATATTATGGTTAGAGGTGAAGATAAAATTTGTTAGTCAGTCAGTCAGCTACAACGTAGGACCAGGCACATATACGCATCGGTCCAAGTTGCCATACCGCATTAGCACAACAAGATGAACACTGGATTCATAGTAGTTAAGTCAATGGTAGTAATATATAAAAGAAAGATTGTATATAAGGATATAGTACAGGAGAAAAGAATTAGCTCGTAGAAAGAAAGGCATAAAGTAATTTTAATTTCACGGTTTAAGAGCAGATAATAAGTGTATAGACCTACGCCATTGTGATCGATTCTGAGTCATGTCACTCAGAGTCTCCAACCATTGATTACGATAGTCAGGCGGACCCCAACCAAGTAGTCTGGATCTACCAACATGGCTCAGACTAGAAGTTAGTGACTTCAAGCACTGATGCCACGTTTTAGATTGGCTGCCCTTAACTAACGTTCATACTTCCCTGTTGGAAATTATCTTACATTCCCTTTTATGTTATACTTAAATTACTTATAAGAAGATAAATAATGTTGATAATTTACTATATTTTACTTATGGTTTCCAATTGATCTAGTTCATAACTCATGATTTTAGTTTTAAAGTTTTTAACGGAGTTAATATACATATTCACTGAGTTAAAAAACACAACTTTATGTACGTCATTTTAAATTTTAAATGACATAAAATGTGAGCTTTAATTTATTTGGAAATCTAAACGATGAAATTCCAAACAATAGTCACTTCACTGTCCAATCATTATTATTGGTTGAAATCTGTTCATCTTAAGTTATACAATAGGATTACAAAGTTAAAATGCAATATGTCTAATAGACTAATTAGTTCATAAAAACAGCAAATAAAATTATCAGTGGTTTAGATCATGAGTTAATTGAAGCTAGATCACCATGGAAAACATGGAAGTACTGGACGGCCGTTTCGTTCTATTGTGGGATACTTCGGCAGTGCGCATCCACGATCCCGCCACACAGGATTCGAACACAGGACCTATCAGTCTTGAGCGCAAGCGCTTAGCCATTAGACCATTGGGTCGCATCTGACGGTGTTGATGCCTAACTTCAACGAATTCACGAAATTGAGCGACATACCCATCATTGTCTTCAGGGAGTTACTATCTCACAACACACCTGGTTGAACTCCACTGGTCAGTGGTTCTCACTAGAACTCCAGGAAATATCTCTTGAAGCCATCCAGTGCTTCCAGGTTTTCCATGGTGGTCTAGCTTTAATTGACTCATAATCTCAACCATTCAAATTACTATAATATCCACAAAAACCCTTCTGATATGAATTAAAATTATATTATGTATTACTTTAGTTTCATCACTCTACAGTGACTCGATATTATAGTAAGTTTAACTGAATGTTTCGTAACTGAAATCGCAGATTAACACTTTTGATAATGTACAATGATTCTGAAATCAAGATACATAATCAAACATGACAACTCTTTAGTCATTATATAATACCTAATAGAATATAAATTAGAAATCACAGCATAAAGGTAAAATCTTCCTAGAGAAAACTTAACGAGTTTGTTTAATTTTTGCTATATCAAATTAAAACTTAATACCACTTATAATTATTTTCACTATAATCTTTTCGACAAATTACCTATTTTACATACATATATTAGTTTAATATGGGTTACATTTTATTATATTGTTTAAACAACTTCCCTATTTATCATGAATATCACTTATACAGTATTTGAACTTTTGAATTGTACGGTCTAATTCATATGCTAACTCACGTACTAAACGTGATTACTAATGCTAATTAGAATAATAATAACAAAATTAATAATGTTATGGATAAATATAACTAGAGATATGACAGATCGTTTTCATGCAGTAATTATTATAATTAAGTTTTATATCTATGACCTTATGAAATTTAATCATCTTTATTTTAGGGGATAGGGAAAAGTATGAGTAAACATAAGAAGAAATGGTTATGAGTTCACTGACTATTTTGACTTCATTCTTTAATGAAATTAATGTTTTGATATATTACAAAAATATTACAGAAAATTATTAAATTGTTATCGATGACTGAGTCTACACACCATTTTAGAACAGAATTTACAAAGAGAGATCTGTTTACTGATCATGACCACGAGAGCTAAAGTTTTCGATTTCGATACCATATTAGAGAAGTGAAACCAGAAACTCAACGAATCTTAAAATAAAACTGATGTTAGTAGATTATAGAAACTATTTCTAAATAGTTAACTATAAATCTACTGAGGCTCCAACCTAATTATATATATCTTTGAATGTTTTTAACAATTTTAAAAGAGGATTTTAGTTTTCTTTTTGAATAACCATTTAATTTATACTTTCATTTAAATGTTGGACTTATTCCTAAATATTTAATATTTTTTTATTGAGATCATAAACTGATTGATGTTTGACCACTATTAAGAACCTGGAAGGACTGCTGAGGAATCCCACAATAGGACGGAACGGCCGTCTAATGCTTTCAAGTTTTCAATAGTGGTCTAACATCAATCGGTTCATGATCTCAATCAAAAACTTGATAATCTCCACAACTCTATACTGATATTTAATATTTGTTTTAGACTTTATCACACTCTAAGCAATGGTATAATTTTATCATAGTATGTGTAAAGTATGTCTTGTTCAACTGAAGTCGGAGATTGAATCAGTTGACTATGTTATATTTTAGCCAGTAAGTATATGGTTTTGATCTAATCGAAGTGATATATTAATTATGTAGAAAGTGAAATATATCTTTTAAAACAATAGAAAATATGAAAGATTTTTGTGTATATAAAATAGTGAAAATGTTAATTTATTCTCTAAACTTATTTGTTTGATAATAAAATATAACAAATTTAGCTTCCATCACATTTAGCATTTATTCAATAACGATTACAATTAGGGTATCAAACTGTTGCTATAGAAAGTGACACATAAGATTATAGGAAGTCAAAATTAAGATTGACCGAATTTTAAGTATGTAAAAAATATTTAGAATGAACAATGCTTCTGATTTTCATTTTCATTTGGTATTGTTTACTTGAGTCTTCCCATTGATGTTTAGGACTGCGATTGATCAGTCTCTTATTGGCATATGAGCATATTATGCGTATTGCTTCGATATTACCTTAATTCACAAGCATTACAACCGAAGATAGAAGAAACGTGTGTTCTGGATTCCACTGCTAGCCACTATCCCTCTTCACTTATAATGTTTCAGATCGTTTAATATTAATTTCATACATAAGACTGGGTAAAAGTAATTCAAGTGTGCATGGATGTTACAAACCAATCCTCTTTTTAATGTGACAAACAATCGACGAGATAAAGTGAAAATTAGATGGTAATAAGAATGACTATTTAAAGAACAGTAGTTACATTTACGTGGTACTTAACTTAGATGTGTATTGAATTTAATCATCCAATGGAGGAGCTATGGAATGTTTACTCATTAAACAGCTAAACACAAACTTATGTATTTAGTACTAATGAAGTGACATGAATCCACATTTCTTATATTTGGGTAAGAAACCTCATGTTTGTCAGATAACAACTAAATAATTATTTTATCAAAGCTAACCAAAAATGATTTTAGGAATTGCACAGATATAAAATGAAAAATAATTATTTCATATCATAGTAATTATTAGTAAATAATCTAATTTCAGAAGGGGGGTTTTGTGGAGATTTTAATAGTTTAGAAGTTAAATTCATGAGACAATTAAAGCTATACCACCATGAAAAACCTGGAACCACTGGACGGCCGTTTTATCCCAGTATGGGACTCTTCAACAATGCTCATCTGCGATTCCGTCCGCGGGATTCAAACCCAGGAACTATTGGTCTCGCATACTAGAACAAAATGGCCATCCAGTGCTTCCAGGTTTTCCATGGTGGTCTAGCTTTAATTGATTCATGAATTTAACTATTAAATATTCTAATAGTTCAAGGAATTCTATAAAACTTCGATGTTTTAAGCAAAAAAAGAATTGTTACTACATGA